GCTGGGGAATTCTGGGAGTTGAAGTCCACCCATCTTCAAGTTGCCGAGGTTGAGAAACATTGGTTTAGAGGCTTCCTCCCTAACTAGAGGGTTCAGGATTCTAAGAAAGGTTGGATTAGCTGAGACTTTCTGTTGAACACCTTTCATTAGTGGAACTGTTCTGGATTGTGTGTGTGTGTGATGACTGGGATCCACTGCAGTCCACACCCAGACAAATGTAGGGTGGCTCCCCAAAAGATCAGTACAGCAGTTTCCAGTACAGCAATTGGTTAATCCATCAAAAAGCTGTAAAAAGTATATAAGTGGTTGAGAAATACATTTTGACAGGGCAAGGAGAAATCTAGGCACAATTTGAAACTCTCCAAATCTATCGATGAGAACCACTTTGGGATAATGGTTAAGGCCCCAGGCTAGAAACCGGGAGACCATGAGTTCTAGTCCTGCCTTAGGCATGAAGCCAGCTGGGTGACCTTGGGCCAATCCTCCTCTCTCAGCCCCAGGAGGGAGGCAAGGGCAAACCACTTGTGAAAAACCTTGCCAAGAAAACTGCAGGGACTTGCCCAGGCAGTCACCAGGAGTCAAAAAAACTGACTCGAAGGCACCAAAAAAAAAAAATCACTCCAAAAACCCTATATATGGCAGAATAGGATTACATCACTCCAAAGGCATTTGCATTTACCCAATAAAGCTCACTGCTTTAAAAAGGATATCTAACAAGTAGTCCATCTTTGTCTTTTCATCAACAGGTAGGTCATGATTAGTGTGAGTTCAAATAATTGAATATTCAATTTAGTGTGAGTTGTAAATTGATACCAGGTCACGATTAATGCAATCCAAAATTCAGTTAATGTTGAGGCTAGCGCATGCCCAGTTGCGGTTGGGGTTTTAGACGCTGTTCATCTTCGTGCATGCAAAATGGAGCAAAGGAAGACTCCGTTGGAAGAAAACAGTACAAGCTCAGAAAAGAAGAGGCTCGTTATTACATTAGAGCAAAAATTTGATGTAATTGAATGACATGAACGTGGTCACAGCACCCCTAGCCCTAACCTGTACTGAGTAAATGTTTAGCCTGCCCAGTAAAGAACATTCTCTAATCCAAGTGCCCAAAGGAAAGAGATCCTTAGAACCAAACGCACAGACCCTCCTCACCATTTGCTCTTCTCACCTTATCAATGAAGCAAGCAAACTTATCATTGAGGGTTTTGATCTGCTCCCGCTCCTCCTCCTTCACTCGAGAAATCTCTGGGTCAATCTGGATCTTGAGAGGCTGTAGAAGGTTTGCATTGACTCGGACCGTGTGGATCCCCCTCCCTTCCCCAAAGCGACCGATGCATTCGTAGCCCACACCGCCACCAAAAGCGCTTCTGCTGACCCCGCCACCCAGACTTCGGCTGCTAAAGCCACCTGGCCGATAGCGTCTGCTGTAACCGTACCCACCACCAAGACTCTGGCTGCTGAAACCCTGTGGTCTGTAACCATCACTGCTTTGGTTGCCGTGTTCTCCATCCTGGCTGTGGGCCTCTGCATTTTGACTGCGCAAGCCCTCCAGCTTTCCATTTCCAGCACCGAAGCCCACCGGCCCAATGCTGTAGCCAAAGGGCCCGGCCCCGTAGCCCAACCCACCACTAGCGCTTGCTGCAGAATATCTCCTACTATGCTCAGGGTCATAGTGGCTTATGCTGCTGTAGCCCCCGCCTCTGCCTGCTCCCGTGAGGTGCAAGGAGGACAAGCTGCTGCCCCCACGGAACCCACTGCTAGAAGTATAACTCCGTCTCCCGTGAAGGGATTTAGAGCTGCTGCATTGCCGGCTCATGGTGGCTAAGAAGAGTAGAACCCCAGCAGTTGAAGCAAAGCTGCGCGGCCCACAGAGCTCCCAAAGAAGAACAGAGAGGCTGAGAGACAGAAGCAAAGTCCTTTCCTACGTTCATCAGGAGTTATCCTTTATATACCATTGAAGATCTGGGCTGGGCTACAAAGCAGTGATCATGTTAAGGAGATTATGCTTCCTTTCCTTGGGGACCATAAATGGTAAGCAGGCAGGCGCATTTACTTTTTGTTTAGACTTAGACTTCTAAGAAAGCTAATGTTATGACGGTGAAATAATCTGAAATGGAAAAATGTTGCTTGGCTTGCATGGTTCTTGATGGGGATCTTGAAGGATCTAATTAACCTGTTTTCCATATGGCAATTAGGCCTGAGCTAAATAGTTTCAGACAGTTCCTTTGCATTTTGCCTTCTAAAAATGTGGACATTTCAGCACCTCGTCTCAGGCAAGAGGGAAGATTTCCCAGCCTTCGATTTCCCATTCAAGGCCACATAAATCAGTGTCCCTGATGCTCCCATTTGAGCAAACAATTAGAAAGTGATGCAAACTCAACAAATCATCTGTTCCTAACCCCAAAGATGCCAGAATGACGACGCTTGTTTCATGATGTCACAACGCAAGCTCTACCCTCTTGCATTGTGATGTCACTTGCAAGTGCGTAAGGTATTGGTTTGTGCTGCAATGGTGCAATGCACATGTGCCACTTGCTCCTCTGCTCCCCCCACCCAAGGATGCCTAAGCCAACAAGTCGAAGCAAAAGAAACATTTCCCAAGATCTCTAGCATTTCCCAGCAATTCCTGGGCATATATTAGCCAAATTTACTACAGAAAACGAACAGAGATACTCTCTGATAATTCCGTATCATCTATAAAGGAAAGCAGATGTTTCCAAACCTCTGGAGAGAAAATGATTTTGAGAGATAAGCCACAGTAACTGACCTCTCTGGGTTTAAACTTGCAATAGCTATATTGATTTGATCTTCATGAAGTTGTTGTTGTTTAGTCGTTTAGTCGTGTCCGACTCTTCGTGACCCCATGAACCATATTGCGCCAGGCCTTCCTAGTGATCCCTGACAAATGATCAGTGAGATTTGAA